TCACATAGGGGGGGGAAAAGAGTGATAAAACCGGGGGGGCCCCCAAAAATTATATGGGTATGTTTATAGAAGGCGCCCCGGAAGAAACCATTACACCCCCCTTTTCACACAGAAAATTTTCCCCCCTAGCCGGATTTTAGGCGGGTGATTAGACCCCCCCCGAGAGAAAAAACAGGGGGCCGGGGGGGTCTCCCCGTGAAAAAAAGGGGAAGAAGAGAAAATTTTGAAAATCCCCCAATTTTTTTTTTCAAAAAGGGGAAAGGAAAAGACAAGAAAAACATTTTTTTTGAGGTTGCCCCGGGGAAATTTTTTTCAAATGGGGCAGGGTTTTTTTTAAACAAAACGGGGAGTTTTTTCAAAAAAGGGGGGGTTTTTTCCGGTTTATTTTCCCCCGGGCCCCCCGATAAAGAACAAAAAAGGGGGGGCCCCCCCCCCCCCCCCCCCCCCCCCCCCTCCTCCTTCTAACCGAGTATTCAATTCTAGCTCATACATACAATTCTGGACTACCCGTATCCGACAATCGCATTGTTGAATGGCCACACATTCGGTGGAGCATGTGTACTTGCTCTTGCCCACGATTATCGAATCATGAACTCTCGTCGCGGGTTTTTTTCGATGCCGCCCGTTAATATTGGCATTCACTTCCCCGGGATTGGATACCTGTCGCGTCTAAAACTTCGCCCTGACATTGCTCGAAGAATGCTGCTTGAAGCACATAAATGGACCAGCAAAGAGGCACTGAAAGATGGGGTTGTTGACCAAATAGCAGAACCTGAAGACATGCTGAATGTAGCGATCGAAGTCGCGCGAAAATGGGCACCTAAGGCGAAGATGGGAGTGTATTCCATACTACGACAGGAATTATGGGGCGAAGCTGCTCGGAAGTTCCAGAGCATCAGCTACGTTCATCAACGTAGGACTATTTTGCCGCCCAAAGTGAAAATTTGAATCTATTGGTGATATATGTTATAGAATATCCTTATGGAAAGCATACAAAATATGCCCCCATTTTATAATTCCAGTTACATTTTCCGGAATGTGTTCCCTGATGCACTTCTGCGGTCCTTGGGCGCTTTTGAGGTTCCGTTGTTTTCAGGCACAAATGCAGGTTTGGAACGAGACTTGGGTTGTGGCACAAATGTAACCGTTTTCTCTCCGACTGCGCCACTTTTCGATGGACGTTCTCTCGTCCGTGATTTATGAACTCTTGATTCAAACGACCTATCACGGACCTGAGCAGTCTTAGATGACGATGATATCTGCATTCGTGGTGGGGGGCGTTTATTCTTTTTGTAGGAGGTTGTAGATATTCGGCCAGAGGCCTTAGCTTTGACAGGTTCTTCATCTTCGCTGGAGGACTCTTCCTCAGAACTAGATCCGGGCAATTCGTCGATAGCCTCTTTTTCGACTGCAGTTAAGCCTCGCTCTGGCCTTGTCGTAGTGGCAGGCGCGGTACTTGGATTCAAGTCCCGGAACTCCTTTGATGTTTCATCCACAGCGAAGTCTTCGTCCTCGAACAGCTTGGAGAATCGAGAATCATTGAGTAGAGTATCCAGGCGACTTGGGGCAGTTTCGGCCTTGCCAACGTCGGCCGTTTTATTGTCTTCCCCGCGCTCCAAAACACGCTGAGCTCGTCGTCGCTCATTCCTGTCTTCTTTTTCAATAATTTTCTTCGCAAGTTTCTTATTGACCTTCACCGTAATCTCCTTGCCCCGGATCCGGCTTTCTCGTTCTTGGTCAATCTTCTGCTTCACTCTCTTAGCTCTCTCCTCTTCCCAAACAAATGGATTAGAAATTAATCGGGCCTCTTCATATAGTCTTTGCGCAACAAAGTATCCATGCATATAGGGTCTCAAGAGTGTGGTTCTGCCGATCAAGTGATCCAGATTCAGGCTTCGCAATTGTGGAACTGTCAAAAATTTAAAATTGTCGTAGACCGACCCGGCTTGGCCAGCGAATGCCTGGGGATCGTTGGGGTCCTCAGCCATTTCTTCCACAATATTATCCAGGAAGGCACACCATTTCGGAGCAGGTCCAAGTTGGGGGATGAAAAATGCATGTTGCTGTCGCCCTTCGTTAGCAGTCAAAATCATGCCACTATCTTTGCACCAGGCTACGCTGTTGATGTCAACTGCGGGTTCCACGGACGTCCAAGGTTTTCCATCCCGCGCGTCCCAGATCTTAATAATCCTTTTGTCTGAGGAGAGAATTTTGGGCTCTGTCGTCTGATCCCGTGTTGTGATCGTTGGAGTGAGGAAGTTTATTGTATGAATAGGGTATCCGTATCCTTGATCCTTTTTCAAGAGCGGAGCAGGAGATCGGAGGTCAAACAGGTGTATAAGGCCTTGCGAAGATCCAGTAGCAAGCGTTAGTCCAGATCGATGGAATTCTAGAGCGGTGATTTGTGATTTAGTATCTTCAAGTTGAGTATCGGAAGGTGGGAGCAAGATGCCAGCCCTTGCTCTAGCCCTGGGGTCCCACAACTCCACTGTTCCAATAGACGTGCCAAATGCGAGAAGATTATGGCTCTCCTCAGCAATGGCAGCAGTATTCACGCTTCCGGTGTTGATGCCGCCTTGAAGCGCGCCACCACCCATCGAAGTAAAATCATCTCCACCAACCTCAACTTCATATGCTTTCATGTAACGTCCTTGTTCCAAGTTCAATCTATATACTTCACCCACGCCATCTTGATTCACACCGACAGATGGAATAAGAGCCTCGGTGGACTGTCTGTCGTATATCAAATCACGACCATATCTCGGCAATCGTGTGGTGTAATGGCAACCTGAAGGGGTATGAAACTCAAGTGATCGATCAGACTGCAGATGCAACGATTTCGAGTAATCTGACGATAGTAGCAGGAATGTTGTATTCAATGAATCGGTGTGGCGAGAGAAAGAAAGAGACAGATGCGGAAGGTAATGGGTATGAATCTGAGGTTTGTAGGTGCCTTTGATTTTTTTTTGTTTTGAATCAGCTACATGATGTATTGCCCAAGTATAATAAAATAGGGTCAAACCTACCGGTGCTCATGACCCATTGCCCATCCTCACTGACACGGATACATTGGCTTGCTTCCTCGAACTCGAAGTCCTGGAGCAGCTCAACTCTGTTCGCGTACTCTGGGTCCTTTTTGAGACTCCGTTTCCGCCTTCTAGCAAGCCATTCTGGAAGTGGCCGTGCGGTTGAGGAACCGGATATTGTGTACACAGGGACATTGGCGGAATTTGACAGCTTCATAGCTTCGACGCCTCCAATAATTCTGTGTCTCCCGTGAAGATGTTCCGTGGAGCCCTCTCCAGCTTCAACAAAATTGCGACGTCTTCCCCCAACCCAACCAAAGAAAAAAATGAAGTCAAAGTTTGGTTGGGAAACAAACTTGCCAATTGCACAATTGTCACGTGACTGTACTAGCCCGATTTGGCGCCAGACGTGGATCTGCCCCAAGTCCTCAAGATCCAAGAATTCTTTTTGTTCGATATCAAACTCGGAGCTGGGATGGTGATCGTAGCTTGATGGAAGAGATGGATCATGTCCAAGGTCGCTATCTCTTTCGTATAGCTTTGCCATCTCCGGGGTATCAATATCTACACCCCGCTCTCTTCAAAGACCGCATCTCCCATCGCCTGTTCTGTGGCTTGGCGTCCATCACTTACGAGATCCTACGGCGTTTGCGGAATTTGTATAGATTGTTGTTTGCCCCTACGAAGCAGAATATCTCGTCCCTAGGTTTAGTTCATATGTCGTTATCACCTCTTCGATATGCATCTTGACCCTGTGGGCTTATTCCACGGATACCATTATATACCTAACTATCATCAACCTGACGCGCTGTGAACGTCGATCTATTATGGATTTCCCAGCAGGAGCGCTTACAAATTTCCGTTCTATCGTAAGTTTTACTTGATAGATTGCTGTCGTGTCTTGTTCTTGTTCTTTTTCTTTTATTTTCTTTTTTCTTGTTCTTTTCTTTTCTTTTTCCCTTTCCCCCCACCCTTATATTCTTTTCTTTTCTTTTCTTATTTTTATTTTTATTGTTATTGTTATTATATCACTATCGCTTTCTCTTCTTCTTTCTCTTTTTTACTTCTTTTTTGGCTTCTTTCTAATCAGTGTGGGCAGGATGGCTTCTGCAACATTTTCTGGAGAATCTACTCCAGGGTGGCCGCTGGACCACCCACATCTCAGCTCAACCTCCGGGAAAACCCGGTTCTTAGAAGTTCCAATGAGCTTAGGAATTCCATAATTCTGTTGCGAAACTTGCGCTGTCTTGTTTCTCCGTTAGCTAACGGCTCTGACTTGTGGATATTCTCTGCCAACCCCAATTTTGACGCGTTGGGGCCAGTGTACAGTAACAAAGGGGCTGGGAACGATATTATTGTAGCAGGAAGCGTAACATTCCAAAGTATACTTTTCCTATAGCTCCTTATTTTATTTTTTTCCCTCTTTGTATACGCTAATATCCGAATTAGATTCTGTTTCTGGTTCGAACTCTGCTGCAGAGATAAAACATCGACTGCTCTCTGATCCTGAGTCCAGTATTTTTAACGAGGCACTTCAGGACAAGTCAATGCCCATTTCCGGTGAACTTTCAAAGTTCCAAGCCTATGCAACCTATTCCGCTTTTTTCGAGGCATTTATTTCTGCCACATCCAGGGCACTCACCCTCCATTTTACGCAGCAGCAAAAGGTGATTCCACTTGGAACTCGAACTCTCTATAGTTCCCTTGATGAGAACGGATATCCGAGAAGTAGCACCCATGCACCCTGTACTCGGAACTTCACATCCTTCCTATCTACCCTTGATATCAACATGACAGCCAAGGGTAAACTGATTGTCTCTTTGAGTACTCTTCCTCAGCCTGGGATTGAGCAGTTGCATCTTGATTCTGAATCTGATATAACTGCCTATCTCAATAATGATTTGTGGTTAGCCCCTTCCGGAATATTGTGCAGGCTCATCTCCATTGACGGATATCAGTCGAACCACTCAAATATTGTTTCTCCAGAGAATATTGGAGCGTTGCCTAATGACTTTGAACGTTCAATTGGGAAATTAGATGCCATGAAACAGGAATGGAAAAGAACTGTGATAGAATGGCTCAGAAAACTTGGCTTGAACCTCAAAGATCCACAAACAGTGCTCTGGGTTGAAGTTGAAGTGAATGTCTCAGATCGTCCTCTATATGACACATTTTCGAGGTTTACTGGGAATCGAAGGAAAGTATCTCCTTTTATCCAAATATTATGGCCTTCAAATCTATGTTTTACTAGATCGCGATCCAACAAAACGGCACCTATTAATCCCACTGAATTCTTCTCGAGCCAAGCCGAGAGCCCGTTGCAATTTGCGGAAAGATGGTTAAACGAATCCTTCCCAGAAGTTCAGCTGCTGGATGAACAAAAAACCGACAATCCAAGTGAAGTTGACGAAAAACACCTTAATTATGCGGAACTATCTCCTTTGGACGTCGACAGCTCTGGCATCCCGGAAAGCTTAGCGAGAACAGTTAACATACCCGACGCACAGCTTGCGAGTGCTGTATATCCCACACCCCCAGGTGGAGCGCTCACTCACAATTTAGAGGCGGGGATGGTTGTAGAAGGACTTGGAGCATCTACCATCGAAGCTCTGAATTACCCACCTTCCCAAGGTGAATCAATTTATAATGAACATGGCGGGTCCACCACATATCTTCACCGAAATCCAGATTTCTTGCCTGCTGGGTTAGACGCGACATCTTCTGAGCTTGGCGTTGGGTCGGGCCTTTACGACACTGCAGCTGATGAAGAATTTTTTGGTGATATCGATGGTACTAATTTTGATACGAAAGGCATCACGGAAGCTGATTTTAACTTTTTCGACGAACCCGATTTTGCTGGTTTGACCGGCAACCTTGAAATGCAAACCGAAACGCCAGAAATACTACAGGCTAACGAATCTA